CTGTATGAAATGCCTAATGAGGACAACATTAATAATTGGAAATTTTCTATATTCTTTTTAAGATTCCAAGATGCATTTGAAAAAATAAAAGAAAAAATAACAAATGGACAACTTCCTGCAAAATGAAATGAGTGTGTAAGTATATTAAAGATAAATAACAGACAAATTTGAAAATGGAAAGCAAATTATAGACGACTTGGGGAAATGAACTCATGGTGTTGGTTGCATAGAACCACTCAGACATAAATTCTGACATTCCTAAATCCAGTGATTACTATCAGAAAGATATTTCACTTCTTTTATCCCATAATGTCTCTTTAAAATGTAATGCAATCAATCAACTTTGCATAACAATCAATCTTAGTAATTATTAGAGTATCATTTGAAATTTTTTGGAAATTTACTTAATATAATCAAGCTATTCCTGGTATTGGTATTAATATAATTATTAAAAGATGCATTATACAAACAAAAAAAACCCTGAAGAATCATTTAAATTCCTAGGATACCTATGAGAAACATAATTTATAGATATTGTATGGTAGTATACTTACATAATAATCCTTAAAAAAATCTAGTTTTCACAGTAAACCAATTCTCCACAGAAGTAAAAATGTAGTATTTTTCTTTTCTTTCTTTCTTTCTTTCTTTCTTTCTTTCTTTCTTTCTTTCTTTCTTTCTTTCATTCTTTCTTTCTTTTTTTTTTTTTGGTTTTGTTTTTTGTGGTCCTGGGGATTGAACTCAGGACCCTGCACTTGCCAGGCAAGAGCTCACTCTACTGAGCTATCTCCCCAGTCCTGTAGTCTTTTTTTTAAATATACAAAATTTTGAAAACTAGAAAAGTAATGCATACACTGAATTTTTTTTGCAAATTATATCATTTGATGTTTAATTTTACCAAGAAAACTGTTGTAATAAACATAACAGAAAGAGTGAAAGAGATAAATATGGTATCTAGAGAAATTTAGATCAACTTAAACTATCATCTATGACTAAAATTTTGCTTTTGTGGAAGAAACCTAAGCCCATAAAAAAGTTCAGACAGCTTCCCTTTTTGTGGCTTCCTGACTGACATTTTTCCAAATGATTAAGCTAGTATATCTATGAGCATAAGCTGTGACAAATTCAGAGAAGATACCTATTTGCATCAAACAAATTGACACATGCCAAAAAATCCTATTGAGACCACAAACTTTTTACA